TGTTAGGAAACAGTCCATGCATCCTCACCTGAGCTCTGCATCAGCGCCCCCACACTACCCCACCCCCTCACCCCTGGTCCGTGGAAAAATTGTCTTCCACGAAACCGGTCCCTGGTGCCAAAAAGGTCGGGGATTGCTGGGTTAGAATGAACAGGCAAAGTGAGTGTTTCTGTAAAGCAGAGCTTACAAACTCTTATTTCCTCATGACTGTTTTCCTAAAGCAAATTAGAAAATAAGTAGAAAGAAACCAAAACTAAAATGAAAGTCCAACCAGGACAGTAGGAAGGGAAGGGATCCAGCTACACTGAAAATCTAAAATCAGTCCCAGAATAAAGCAGCTCACTGCTACACATCTGGCTTCAAAAGTGAACTAATTCACATCTCTCCAGTATGTCCACAATGCTGACGAAATGCCATGCAGAGCAGCAGTTAAGAGCATTGGTGGGTGAACCCTAGTTTTGTTAATTGTAACTTGTATGAGCTCAGGCAAGTTACTTGTTTGCATGTTACTTATTTGCAGATTATTCTGTGGAATCTCCTGATTTTTAAATGTTCGCAATAACTCATATTTCTTTCTTTTTAATTAAAAACAGTTTTTTGGAGATGGGATGTCACTATGTTGCCCAGGCTGGTCTCACGCTTCTGGGATCAAGCAATCCTCCTACGTCAGCCTCCGAGGACTGTAGGAGCACACCACTACACCCGGCTAATAACTCATATTTTAAAAAAACCGAACTGTGTAGACCAAACAGAGCACATCTATAGTGTCGAAGGCTTAGGAACTATCAGTTTCCAACCCTCAATTGGTGGCCCTAGGACTGTTTCTTGATTGTTTTGTTTTTTTCCCAGCGGTGCATCTAGCAGATATCTGTCTAGAGATGGCACTGTGAGCGAGAAGGACTTGAGCTGAGCATCTGAGGCCCAGCACTAACTGCGCTTTTTTCTGGGTGGCATTTTTTCTGACTGGTTCCATTTTCAATTTGCTCTTTGGCAGGGTGTGGTGGAGCGAGTGGAGGCAGCGTCTAGGACAGGTCCGTGTAAGCCGTGCCCTCCATGCCTCTGCTATGAAGCACAGGGCCCTGCGCCTCCAGCTGCAGGTGAGTCCAGCAGACACGGGTTCTGGCATCCTCTGTGCGTGTTGTCAAGTCCATACCCACCGAGGGCAGATTCCCAGTAGGAAGCCACCATGGTGCTACCTCTCGGCTGGGCCCTCATGGCAGCTTGGGGGGCTGAGGAGACGGGTGGGGCAGAGGCACTGTGGAGGGCTGGGCTCTTCCAGTTGGAGGCTACTATTAGGAATAATGCAGACACTTGTCCCAAATGTGATTACCAATGGCTTCTAGAGAGCTTATGGTAATTGTGGAGCTGGGAGGGGATTTTTGAATTAGTTATAAACATGAGTATACCCTTATTTCCTCATTATTGTTTTCCAACAACAAATTGGAAAATAATGAGGGCAAGAAAAAAACTAAGACCAAAAAGAAAACCTGGCTTCTTTTTCCTTAAAGTTTTGCTTATCTTTGGGGTTTCTTTTAGGGAAGCCACTAGCTTTTGGTCAATTATAAAGGCCTAAGTCCTGTACCAAAACTATCCTGTGGTGAAACTTTATCTTTTGATATACTCTCTGAATTCCTGGTCACTTTTTTGCATCTGCTGGGTACTTAGAGGACTGCCAAGTAAGTTATAGAAAATAGAACAGGGAAGAGAGAAAAAAGGAAGTGCTTCTTACCAAATATAGGAGTAATATCTTTTTTAGAGATGGGATCTCACTGTGTCGCCCAAGCTGGAGTGCAGTGGGCTATTCTCAGGCATGATCATAGCTCACTGCAACCTTGAACTCCTGGGCTCAAGCGATCCTCCTGAGTGGCTGGGACTCTAGGCACATGCCACTACATCCAGCTAATATCTTTGTAATCTGACCACTGATTGCATAGCCCATTTAAATATATGCAGGCCACATGCAAATAGCATATACAGTCATCTAAATCAGGGATCAGCAATCTCTGGCTCACAGGCCCAATTTGGCCTGCTTTTTATTTTTGTAAATAAAGTTTTATTGGGATGCCACCAACACCCATTCATTTATGTATCTCTTTGGCTGTTTTCAAGATATAAGGGGAGAGTAGAGTAGTTACTACAGAGATTTTATGCCCTGCAAAGACTGAAATATTTGTTGTCTGACCCTTTAAGAAAAAGTTTGCTGACCCCTGAGCTCACAAGGTCTTCTGAGACAATAGCAAGAAAATAAGAGACACAGTTCTTGTCCAGAATTATTAATAACAACAACAGTGACTGCAGCAGCAATAGTAGTAACTTTTACTGTGGTCTTATGCTAGGTGCTGGACTAAGTGCTTTTCATGCAGTATCTCATTTAATTTTCATAATTCATTTTCTAAAATCCTATGTTATTGAGGAAACCAGGACGGTTAAATAACTTGAACCAGGGTCGTATGTATAGAAAAGGTCAGAGCCAGGATTTAACCCAAGCAGCCAGAACACTGGAGAGTCATTGTCTTAACCACCGTGTAATATTGTGCTGAATAGACTTGTGACCTTGGGAGGTAGATGCAACTGATCAGTGGGAAAATGCTGTAAACAAAGAAACGTCACTGATGGACAGCTGCATGAGAGTTCTTCCCTTTCAGAGAGCCACTTTGAGAGGCTATAAACTCATTCTACTGATGGCAATATTGCTCAGAACATTTTTAGAATACCCTTTTTACAGTTATCTTCAAAGCTTGCAATAACAGATTCGATTAAATCTTTTTAATGATAGCCATGATTTGAGGTTTGATTTAACTATAAAAACTGCCAGGCCGGGCGCACTGGCTGACGCCTGTAATCCTAGCACTCTGGGA